TGGCACGCTGAGGGGCGTCCGCTCCACAGTCGGTCCCACAGCCAAGCAGAGAGTCTCCTGGCTGGCTCGCCAAACTGACATGCGGAAAACAGACTCCACAATCAGTGAGATTGTGAAGTAGGTATGTTCATTCAGCACTGGGCAGCACGGGGGGTAGTCCCACCAAAGTCGTGCCCACCTGATTTGGCAGTTCACTTTAAATTTATACAGTCAAGTGTTACATATACATAGAGCTTCGCAATACGCCTATACATAGGCATTACCTATCCCCACTTCATATTAAAATTAGCTCTAGGAAGTAATTTCCATAATCTCCTCTCAGCTGCGCTTGCGCAGTGCCTCCTTATGGTGGTCGTCTGGTGGTCGTGAAGATGAAGGCTGTATGTCTTCTTCACGGTGAACTCTTAACCTTCTGTCCCTGCGCAGACTCAGTTGTCCCTTGGCATTTGTCCAAATCACAAGGTCGGTCTTGGCTGGTTCTTGGAGCCACTGCTGCTTCTTATCAGGGACTATCTCCTGTCCCAGCCAGCCTCAACAATGCAAGTGTTAAACATCACTTCTCATCCCCTTGGGTCATGTCTACCTCTATTGAAACTTCTTTAACTTCATTATAAGCTAGATAATTATTAAACAATTCTTATCCACATTCATATATCTACTATATCTGCTAAGGTTTCTTTGGTTCCCCGTCTCACTCTGTATTCATTTTCTCCATAGGTGGTAGCAAAAGAGGAGATAGGGAGAAGACAGCGTCTCCTTGCCTGGATTTCGTGTCCTCCCATACCATCTGCTGGATTGGAGCCCAGAGCTGCCCACCAGACCCCGTCCGCTTCAGACTGCGCATGCTTTGTGCTATGGAGAGAGCAAACCATCCTGCCAGGCAGTGTGTGATCACCAAACCTGGTGAATACGGGGCAAGTCCAGCCCAGGAGGACACACAGGTGAGACAGCCACATGAGGGCTCAATCTGGTCTCCTCCACACTTAGATTTTCTGCACATCCCAGGAGAAAGATTTACTAGTGCACATTCCTAAGCAAAGCTGAATATGCCAAAAAAAGTCGTTAGGTGTCAGCAGTCCTGAAAAGTGATACAGAAACCCCTGGTCTTAGATTCTTACTCATTTTTAATCAAGTTTTTACACAAGTTTAAGAATTATTTCTGCTTGCACTCACCTTCCCACAAAGGACTTGGTAATGCTGGCAAATTAAAGGAGAAAAAGGGAAGGAGAAGTGTTAGGCCACATTGAATTGCTGTGTGGTGCAGGCAGGCCCAGCTTACTTGAGCTGAAATGGGCCAGCCTGTGTCAACCAGCCAGGACTGGCCTGGGGCTGTGCAGCTTTCCTCTTGCAGACATTGCATGCACGTTTTGGCAAAAACACACTGTGGTTATCCGGCTTTACCCACCTCACTGTGGTTTGCTGGCTGAAGAGGGAGCAGATGGCAAATGCATTCCCACAGAGCTGGAGCTCTGGCAGCAGAGCCAGGACTGGATATGCTGGGACTCTTTTCCTTGGTTTCGCTTTTCTCAGAGGACGTCTGTATTCAGATGTGTATCTTGAATTATTTGCTCCTCCTCTTGCATGCAGTCCTTCAGCTTTTCTCCCTACCACACAGGAACTGGTGAAGCCTGTCATGATTTAAGCCCAGGCAACAAAACACCACAAAGCTGCTCACTCACTCTTCCCCCTGCCCCGTGGAATGAGGAAGACAAAACTATAAAGAAAAAGCTCGTGGGCTGATAAAAGGACAGGGAGGGATCATTCACCAGTTATGGTCACGGACAAAAACCAGACTCAACTTGGGGAAAAAAAAAAATCAATTTAATTTACTACCAATCAAATCAAAACAAGGATAATGAGAAGTAAAACCAAATATCAAAACACCCCACACACACCCCTCCCTCCTTCCTGGCTCAACTCCACTCCCGATTTTCTCTACCTCCTCCCTTCAGTGGCACAGGGGGATGGGGAATGGGGGTTGGGGTCAGTTCATCACACATTGTCTCTGCTGCTCCTTCCTCCTCAGGGGGGAGGACTCCTCACTCTTGCCCTGCTCCAGCATGGGGTCCCTCCCACAGGAGACAGTCCTCCACGAACTTCCCCGACATGGGTCCTTCCCACAGGCTGCATTTCTTCACAAACTGCTCCAGTGTGGGTCATTTCCGCGGACTGCAGTCCTTCAAGTCACAGTCTGCTCCAGCGTGGGCTTTCCCATGGAGTCATGGCCATCTTCGGGGGCATCCACCTGCTCCGGTGTGGGGTCCTCCACGGGCTGCAGGTGGGCATCTGCTCCCCCACTCACCTCCATGGGCTGGGGGGGGGACAGCCTGCCTTCTCTCTATGGGCTGCAGGGGCATCCCCTCCTCCGGCGCACCTCTTCCCTCTCCTTCTTCACTGACCTCGGTATCTGCAGAGGAGTTTCTCTCACACTCCAATCTCCTCCCCTGCTGCAGGTTTCTGTTCTTAAATATGTTATCCCAGAGGCGCTACCAGTGTCGCTGATGGGCTTGGCCTTCGCCAAAGGTGGGTCTGACTTGGCACCAGGGAAGCTTCTAGCAGCTTCTCACAGGAGCCACCCCTGTAGCCCCCTCCCCTGCTACCAAAACCTTGCCACACAAACCCAAAACAAGCCTTAAAAACTCCAAAGAGATAAAACGTTTAAGAAATTGATCTTCAAAAAAGTTCTCCTAAGTTGTTCTCCTAGTGAGCTGCTCTCCTAAAAAAACACTCCTATTTGCTTGACTCAGGAAATAGTTTGCTTGCAGCAAAATTGCTTGTATTTCATAAAGCACAAATGAGGGTTGTTTCACACTTAAAACTTGCCAAGATATCCCTCAACAACTCTATCCCCTGGCAACTTTGGCTGAAAAGCCAGCAGCAGCACAGCTACACCCCAGGTACCTTTGGACCCCCCCCCCCCAAGCTGGACCCCAAGGATGCCTGATAAAAGAGAAGGTTTTTCTAGATACAGTCCTGAAGTTCAGATGTTAATCAAAATTAGCCAGCCTCTGGGATTGGCATGCATTGTTCTCCACCAGAGGGGGGATTTTCGAGTAAGCTATCAAAATATTTCCTAAGTAAGACCACAAAAATCCCCACAGGTGCAACCAGGGCAAAGACTTCCACAGTGCATGAAGATGTTGATATAAGTTTCCTTTGGAGACAGGGTCATCTCAGCATTGCCTGTGTCACAGTGTCTTCAGCTTTTGGAGTCAACTCCACTCGTGTCCTAATTAGGATGAAGTTTTCCTGTTGGTGTGATGCAGCCAGCTGTTACTCTCTGATGCTCTTGAGGACAGTAAGGGTGAAGCCAAGGTGGTGGTAAGCACTCTGGTGGCTCTTGGTGATCTGGAGGAGGAGGCCAGGACATGGCCCACAGCTCAAGCCACCTCAGGCTCTGCTGCTCCACTGGGGTCTCTGGAGAAGAAACCCAAACCTTTTCCTTCCTCCCAGACCACCTTCTACCACAGAAGGACCACTGCTGGGGCTGGTGCAGTCCCTGGCTGGTCTCCAGAGCATGGCTGGTGTTGCAAGCTGCGCTGTGTGGTGTCTCTAGCGAGTCTTGCTGTCCCACACTGGGCAATGAGTGTTTTGCATGACCACCCAGCCACGACATCCCCACCTCTCCTGGTTTGAACACTCCTCTGATGAGTACAAAGGGATCCCCATAACCAGTCCCTTCACCCCAGCAACCTCTGACACAGGTGTTGGAACTGCAACAGTCTGGATTTTCCTAATCCTTAACAGAAAGCGTGGTTATAATGGAAAAAGCTATGAAACAAGCCAAGATCCCTCAAAATCTCAAGCAACACCAGTCACAGCAAATCTTAACATACCCAAGAAGAGATGTGTGATAGATCACACCCACTGGGTTGCCAGGAACCCTTGTTCACATACATGAGATCTGCACTGATTAAATCCTCCTTGATCCAACGCTCATCAAGCAATCAATCACAGAGAATTCTTCATAAAGTAAAAGCAAGCCAATAAGTTTCTGTAGTAGCTCCGGTTTTGGTTAGTGCCATCAAACCCCCCAGGTATGGCAGAAGACCAGTCCCCAACAGGGCTTCTCCATGGGGTCAGCCTCTTGCGGAAGAGAAAACCAGAAATGAAAGTTGCCGACACCCACATCTGCTTCCCCTCAGCCCAGCTTTACATCTCCCACCCCCAAGAAGAATCAGCTGGAGTCCTCCCCCCTTGAAGTGGGCACCGCATCCTGCCCATCACTCCTTTTGCTCTCACCCAGCTTTAAGATCAGATCCAGTGTCCCTGAGGTTACTTTGTCCCTTTTTTAAACCTTCCCTTCAGAGCCACACAGGAGTCTGCAGCCAGGCAGATCCCACATAAAACAGACAAACCTTTAATTCTTCTTTTTTTTTTTTTTGATGTAAAAGTGTTCCTGCACCTTCTCAGCAGGATAAAAAAGTGCAACTGAGCACAGTGCCACCACACCCCAGATCCACCCACAACCCAGCAGCCCATGAAATCAGCTCAGGCTATCATATGACTCTGAAGAAACATTTTAAGGACCCCACTGAAGTAGTCCAATTTTATTTAGATAAAAATCCTGTACAACTCATGAGCACTGAAGAGCTACAATTGTTTTTTAATTGGTTATGCAGACTTTTATAGCTATGTGCTCAAAAAAAAAAAAAAAAGAAAAGCCTAGCTCAAATACTGCTTTGGGTAAATGATATTTTAACGATAAGCTTTATTAAAGAAGGAATTCTGCAATGAACAATTGTTCTTCATCTTATCCACAAGTGAGATGTGAAGAAAGGACAGAAGCTCAAGAAGATTTTTGACTTGCAAGGCAGAATTTTTCAGACCTGCATGGGGGAGAGGAGATTGACATCAGTCACTCTGTTTACACCTTCAACTGTAATTATTTTAGGAAAAAAAAAAAAAAAAAAGTGTTTTCCACAAGGGAACTCCAACTGCAGAGTCCCAGCTGCAGGCAGACAGACCCACCTTCCAATTATATTTAGATATATATTTTCCTGCAGAAACTGCTCTTCCATCCCCTCCTCAGTGGGGGTTCAGAGTTCAACAAGCAATCCTCTACCAAGATGATCCTTGCTCTCCACCCCAAGCACCAGCTGCACAGATATTCTCCCTTTATCCTGCTCTCAACTCCTCCGCCCCAGCTCAGTAAATCCTTGTCCCCAGACTCCAGTGAAGTCACCAGTGTCCCACCTCCAACCAAGCTTGGCATCCCTTGCCATCGGTGACCTTCATGCTGACGTCCCAAAGCCGCTGCATGCCATGCTGCCAGTGTGGGCACAGCACACCCCAGACCCTGCCCTGGGGCCATCCCCACTGCCCAAAAGTGAGTGACAAACCAGAAGAGTGGCTGTATATAATTTTTCAGAGCTCTGTTACCTAGAAGCATCTGTACTGTATCAAATCACAGGTCCATTTACCTCAGCATCCCATCTCAAGCAGCAGTCAGAAGCAAACACTTAAGCACTTATGGCACCCCTTCTCAATATCCTTCCAATCCAACCATTTCTGGCTCCGGGGGATCTCTTGAGCCTCTCCCCAGCCTCCAATATCACACCTCAGCTTTTCTGCTCCAAATTAAGAGCATATCTTCTTCTGTTGTCCCCCACTAGAAAGATGGTCAACTGACCTTCATTTTCTCTTGTCCCTGGAAGCCTAACACCCTTCCTAGCCTTTGCTGCTCTACAGCAAGGAAGGGCCAGAGAGCTTTAGAGAGAGAGCAGCAGCAGACAGCAAGAAGTAAAGGACTCTGGGTCCATCTACAACTTCTCAAGAAGAAATGCCCAGTCTAAAAGCCATCAATAACACCTTCTGGTCCAATGTGAGGGGCATTTCAAGTAAGGTCTTGCCAAAGCTTGTCCTGGGTACAGTTAATAATTACCCAGCCTCTACCAGGGTATGTAATTAAGTTGCAATGCTGGTTCAAATGCCTGTCAGCTAGGCCACATATCTTTAGTTTTATTCTCCCTATCAAGGGTTAAACTAGTATTTACCTGACTGCTAAATCCAGATCAATTATGCCCAGATAGTTTGAAAAACCTGGAGCCCTCAGACAGTGAGACATCAGTGAATAAAACCAAGACTTCCTCTGGCTTGGCAGCAAGGCACGGATTTGTGCCTCATAAATCCCACATTACCGAGCTGACGCGCTGCCTGCTGTAGGGTTAACCAGCCTGCCTCCCCCCAAGTCACAGGGATTTCCAGGTATGGCAACTTCCTCCTCACCAGACAGAAGACAGCACCATGGGTTCTGGAGAAGCACTAGGACATGCGACAACTCTAAACGATAACTGGCAGACACACCAAACACATGCCGGGAAGTTTTGCTCCAAGGGGCTCCTTTTTTTTTTTTTTTTTGAGCAAAGGAGACTCTTGTAGGCAAGGTATGGCTGAGAACCAGCCAAAATAGTTGGCAGAAAGTGTGTGGGAACAGCCTCACTCCCTATCAGCAGATAGGGTGGTTGCTTTTGCTCCTCAACTCTGCAAGCTACACACTCACTACAGAAAGCAGTCCACATTCCCCTTATCTGCACAGTATGGAGCATCAGCGTAACTCACCATGATTATCCCAGACACAGCTTAGAAGTCTGTATCTGCAAGAAAGAAGGGCAGAGTGTTAGGCTTTGGGGCAAAGAGCACCTCCTCTCTCCCGTCACCACAAGCCCACCCCCGCTGGAAACAGCCCCAGTGCAGTAACCAGAAAGCTGCCCTTGCTTGGCTGCGTGCTTGCTGTAGCAGGCTGGGTCACCACAGTCATTCCCCTCCGCTACATCCTTCTTTATATTCACCAAACATAAAGCCAAAAATCACTGCATGACCCATCTCTTTCCAGGCAAGTTCACCTAGAAAGAGATCAGAGCACTCCACTCAAAGTCAACAGTCACACCATAACCAAATGCCTACAGATGATACGGAAGCAAGTCTTCCCTGTCTGCTACTAACGAACCCTTTCATGGGTACGTATACACAGCCTTTTCAGCAGCCCAGCTTAAGCCAAATTAATCTTCCATCTATAGCACAAGACCTTCAAAATCCACCCTATTATAGCACCCCATTTCCTAATGGAGGGGGGGGGAACAGGGACACTGTGGATATAAATTAACGAGCTCTGGCTTCTGCACACGAAGAGCGGCAAAGCTTGAAGAGGAAGGCACACGATACCCCAACGGAAAAACTGCGGCTCTCTGAAGGCAGAATGGGCCACCCTGCAAGAGTAGACATCGCCTTTCTCGGGGGTGAAATCGGCGTACACCAGGCGCTGGAAATACCACTTGTCGTTGAAGGACATGTCTGCGTACTGCACGTTGCTCATGGGCTTCCCATTCTTGAGGAGCAAGATTTCAATCTTCGGAGGGTGGAAACCACTCACGAAGCAGTTGAGGACGTTTTCTTCTCCAGGGTTGGCATGTCTGCGGGAGTACACCTCCACCTTCGGCGCCTCTGGAGAGGAGGGGTAAGGAGGCAGTGAGAAGCAGGGCTGCGGCGGACACCTCCCTCAGCGAAGCCAGCGCCCACCCATCCGCGCACGGTAACCGATACCGGTCCCCTCACGGCACCTGCTCCCCGC